ATATTTAATCAAATTTTAAAAAAATTTTCAAGGGGGGGTGCACTACAGTGCAGGTGCACTAAAAAAGTTTTCCCTTTATTTATTATACTGCAACTTTTATATTTTTTTAAGCAAATATAGTTTCTTTTATTTATATTATTTATCTATAATTTTTATCACCTATTATTTTAATAATTTTTTTGCATAATGATTGCATATAAAGTATAAATAGCAATTGGGCAAGCATAATGTAATCAAGTATAAAGATTAAATAATGATCAAACAAGAATAATGATCACACATTAAGATTAAATAATCAGGCAAGAATAATGATTACATATAAAGAATAAGCATAAAAATTAAATAGTGATCAAGCAAGAGTAATGATCATGCATAAAGTTTAAATAGAAATTAAACAAGAGTAATGATCATGCATAAAATATAAACATGAAGATTAAATAGTAATCAAGCATAATAATCATATATAAAGATTAAATAGCAATTTAGCATAATAATTATGTATAAAATTTTATATATTTTTACTTCAAAATTTTAATATCAAAAAATATATAAATTTTTATAATAAAAATTTAACTAAAAATAAAAATGTGCTTTTATTTTTGTTATTGTGTAATCTAGTAAATTATTTATAACAAATATACAAATTAGTCTAATTCTACAATATAATTATTCTAACCCAATCTCAACTAAATATTATTTCATAATAAGTATACTAAACAATAATCTAATTATTATCTATATTATGCATAAATGTGTCAAAAATTAATGACACTAATAAATAAATTGACTACTAGCAATAATTTGCCAAAAACTAAAAATAATATTAATAATAATAATGTGTCTACAAGAATGCAGCACAATAAATACATTTCCAGAATATACCAAGAGTAATATATTCACATGAAAATAGAACAAATAATATGTTCCAGATATACCAAGATCTAAAAAAAGAAGTTCCAAGAACATCACCAATAGGTGCCTGGAATAGAAGAAGAACATTAGTTATGACATTCAAAAAATTCATATTTAAATAAAAAAAAAAATGATAATGCACTTACAAGAATGCAGAATAATAAATATGTTTCTATAATATACTAAGAGTAATGCATTCACAAAAAAGTAGAACAAATAATACATTCCAGATATGCCAAGAACTTGAAAGAAGAAGTTTCAAGAATATCACCAATAGGTGCCCAAAAAAAAAAAACATTAGTTATAACATTCAAGAAATTTATATTTAAATAAAAAAAATTATACTTCTCTAAAAAAAAATAGGAAAAAAACATAATAATGTGCCCACAAGAACACAGAATAATAAATACATTTTCAAAATATACTAAGAGTAAGCAATTACAAATATATATTTCAGATATGCCATGTACTAAAAAAAGAAGTTCCAAGAACACTACCAATAGGTGCCAGAAGAAAAAAAGAATGTTAGTTATAATATTTAAGAAATTCATGTTTAAATAAAAAAAAAATTATACTTCTCTAAAAAAAATAAGAGAAAAAAAAAAAAGATAATACACCCACAAGAACACAAAATAATAAATACATTTTCAGAATATACTAAGAGTAATGCATTCACAAAAAAATAAAATGAATAATATGTTTTAGATATACCAAGAACTGAAAGAAAAAGTTCTAAGAATACCACCAATAGGTCCCTGAAAGAAAAAAGAATATTAGTTATAATATTCAAGAAACTTATATTTAAATAAAAAAAATATATACTTCTCTAAAAAAAAAATAGAAAAAAAAAAATAATGCACTCACAAGAATGCAGAACAATAAATACATTTTCAGAATATGCATTTACAAGAAATAGAACAAATATATATTCTAGATATACCAAGTACTGAAAAAAGAAGTTTCAAAAACAATACCAATAGGGCCTGGAAAAGAAAAAGAATATTAGTTATGACATTCAAGAAATTTATGTTTAAATAAAAAAAATTATGCTTCTCTAAAAAAAAATAGGAAAAAAAAATATACGCCTACAAGAATACAGAATAATAAATATGTTTTTAAAATATACCAAGAGTAATGCATTCACAAGAAAGTAGAATGAATAATATATTCTATATATACCAAGAACTTGAAAGAAGAAATTATAAGAACACCACCAATAGGTGCCTAGAAAAGAAAAGAATATTAGTTATGACATTCAAGAAATCCATGTTTAAATAAAAAAAAATTATATTTTTCTAAAAAAAAAATAGAAAGAAAAAAAAAAAGATAATATGCCCACAAGAATGCAAAATAATAAATATGTTTTCAGAATATACCAAGAGTAATGCAATTATAAGAAAATAGAATTTATATAAATTCCAGATATGCCAAGTACTGAAAAAAGAAGTTTCAAGAACACCACCAATAGGTGCTCAGAAGAGAAAAAGAATATTAGTTATGATATTTAAGAAATTCATATTTAAATAAAAAAAAATTATACTTTTCTAAAAAAAAAAGATAATGTGCTTACAAGAATGTAGAATAATAAATACGTTTCCAGAATATACCAAGAGTAATATATTTACAAGAAAATTAAATGAATAATACATTCTAGATATACCAAGAACTAAAAGAAGAAGTTTCAAGAACACCACCAATAGGTGCCTGGAAGAGAAAAAAATGGTAGTTATAATATTCAAAAAACTCATGTTTAAATAAAAAAAAAATTTATACTTCTCTAAAAAAAAAATAGGAAGAAAAAAAAAAGATAATATGTCCACAAGAATGCAGAACAATAAATATGTTTTCTGAATATACCAAGAGTAATGCATTCACAAGAAAATAGAACGAATATAAATTCCAGATATACCAAGTATTGAAAAAAGAAGTTTTAAGAATACTACCAATAGATGCCTAGAAGAGAAAAAAATATTAGTTATGATATTTAAAAAATTAATGTTTAAATAAAAAAAAAATTAAACTTTTCTAAAAAAAAAAATAGGGAGAAAAAAATATAATGTACTTACAAGAATGTAGAACAATAAATATGTTTCCAGAATATACTAATAGTAATATATTTATAAGAAAATAGAACAAATAATATGTTCTAAATAAACCAAGAACTGAAAGAAGAAATTTCAAGAACACCACCAATATGTGCCTAAAAGAGAAAAAAACTTTAGTTATAGCATTTAAGATATTTATGTTTAAATAAAAAAAAATTATATTTCTCTAAAAAAAAATAGAAAGAAAAAAAAAAAGAAAATGCATCTACAAAAACAAAAATAATAAATATATTTCCAGAATATACCAAGAGTAATACATTTACAAGAAAATAGAACAAATAGTATGTTCCAAATATACCAAGAACTAAAAGAAGAAGTTTCAAAAACACTACCAATAGATGCTTGAAAAGAAAAAGAATATTAGTTATGACATTCAAGAAACTTAAGTTTAAATAAAAAAAAAAATTATACTTCCCTAAAAAAAAAATAGAAAAAAAAAATAATGCACTCACAAGAATGCAGAACAATAAATACATTTTCATAATATGCATTTACAAGAAAATAAAATAAATATATATTTCAGATATACCAAGTACTAAAAAAAGAAGTTCCAAGAACACCACCAATAGGTGCCTGGAAGTGAAAAAGAACATTTCAAGAAATTTCTATTTAAATAAAAAAAATTATACTTTTCTAAAAAAAAAAATAGAGAGGAAAAAAAAGATAATGCACTCACAAGAACACAGAACAATAAATACATTTCCAGAATATACCAAGAGTAATACATTCACAAGAAAATAGAATGAATAATATATTCCAGATATACCAAAAACTAAAAGAAGAAATTCCAAAACACTACCAATAGATGCCCAGAAAAGAAAAAAACATTAGTTATAGCATTCAAGAAATTCATATTTAAATAAAAAAAAATTTATTTATTTTTTTTTTTTTTTTTTTATAACTTTGGCAGTCTTGCTTTCACTTTATTAGGCTTTGTAATAATTTTCTAAATTACTAAAATTTTCCAAAGAGTTAAGCTCTTCGGTACCTAAATTACAAGTAGAAACTCACCTAGTTGCTCACTGAGTACCTATGTGTGACCTGCTATAGTAAGATTTGCCTCTATACTATCTTATCCTGCATTTGGCTTCGATAGTACCTCAACAGCAGTTCTTACTGCTTGTCAAGACTACATGTTAACTTTCCATCACTCTGAACATTAACCACCTTCAATCCAACTTAGTACTTCTTTCTTTGAGATTTTTAATACTGATTCCCACCTCATATCTTTTTCTTTCTTCTTACTCTTTTCTTCATTAGTTTTTTTTTTTTTTTTTTTAAAGGAACTGCTTTGGGGCCTCATTTTTTTTTCTCTTCTTCTTCTTGTTTCTTTTGTTGGAATTTTCATAAGACCCTTTCTTTTCTCTTGGAACAATGCCATTTTCTTTTTCCTATTCTTGTACCAACTTGCA